CCATCTTATTCCCACATCTATCATAAGCTGGTAACCAATTTCTTTCCAGTTTTGAGTGGAAAGATTACTTCAACTTGTCAGTTATCTATAGGGTAACCCTGCTATTTTTGGTGTCAGATAAATGTATAACCCAGAAAATTATATTCCTGTTAAAAGACCTATGATTTTAAAATGTTCATCAGTACAAGATCCAGAGGCGACTGTGTTGAGAGCACTGCTTAACATTATTCCTCTTCATTCTTAAAGAAGCACACAAGTTAAAAGATATAGATGAGAAAACAAAGAAGAAAGTGGGTATTGTTTTAGGAGGGAGCCAAGGTGGGGGAGGATGAAGGGACAAGGTGATGAGGACACAGACGTCTTCCCACTGAACAGCAGCAACAAGGCGAGGAGCTCAGCATGTTTCCATCCACCCATCTGTTAAGTTCACACTGTCCACAATATTACACAGACATGTTCCCTTCTTAAGAGTCAAAGGAACTAATTATTATGATAGATTTGTTCTTTAATATCTAATTTCCTTGAACTGCTAAACCATTAAAACCTGTATATTCAGCAAGTCTATTAATGACACTTGAAAAAATACACTTACAAGAACTTTGAGACACATCATCACACTCAAGATCACGTAGGCACAGCTAATTTACTAAAAAGAATCAGAGGCTAAAGAGGACTTTTTAAACTGTGCTGTAAGCATCCATATTTTATTTCCAAGTGGTTTCTCACAGTGAGGGGCTTTTCAAAGGAAAAGGAAAAAGAGTCTGAAAGCAAAGCACAGAATACAAAATTTTTCATCAATACTGAAGATGGTAGAGTATCTGACGATCAACCTTTGACCCACGCAATTTAAGGCTTATTAGTAGTCAGTGTGAATCTCTGAGAGCAGAGACCTGCCTTTCTCCTCTGTAACTGGCCAGAACATTTTATGCAGATAACTGTACCCAAAGAGAGCTCATTAAAAATGATCTGGTTGGGGCCGGCCCCATGGCTTAGCGGTTAAGTGCGCATGCTTCGCTACTGGCAGCCCAGGTTCGGATCCCAGGCGCGCACTGACGCACCGCTTCTCTGGCCATGCTGAGGCCGCGTGCCACATACAGCAACTAGCAGGATGTGCAACTGTGACATACAGCTATCTATTGGGGCTTTGGGGGAAAAAAAAGGAGGAGGATTGGCAATAGATGTTAGCTCAGAGCCGGTCTTCCTCACAAAAAAAAAATGATCTGGCTATTGGGACGGTGGTTCTGGGTCTCAAGAGATTCTCACATCCTACTAGATATTGGGCACTGTTCTGGGAACGAAGGAAAACAGACTCCCTTTCTTAAGGAAAACACAGTTCAGAAAAGGGAAAGCTGCAAAGTGAAGTGAAGCTGGCTGAGCAGACCACTGTGGCAGTCCTGTCATCCCTGACCCTAAAATTTCACTTTTATTTCTAAATTTTGAAGGGTTCTGGCAATTGCTCTTTATCTTTCTGCTTGGTCAGAAAAAGAAATACACTATAACACACCCCTCTTCTGAAAATTCACCTTAATGCTCAGATTCAGCAGAGAATTTGTATCTCATTTTTTAAAGTTGCATTGCCTTTGCCATTCCTTCAACAATATGCCTACTATGTGCGACCCACTGCCGCTGCACTAAGCACGGACTGACCAAAACCAGAATTCACGCCTTCATGGATCTACATTCTGGATGCAGATATCTTCCTCAAATAAACAGCAGTACATATCATGCTCAGTACCGTGAAGCAACTGAGTACTGTGATAGAAAACACAAGTGGGAACCTACCTGAGTGAAGGTCAGGGAAGGCCTCCCTGAGGAAGTGACATTTAAGTTGAGACATGAAAGACAATCATTTCCTTGTCAATCACGAGGAACAGTGTTCCAGGCAGACGGAACAGCAAGGGAAAAGGCCCAGTGGTGGCAAAGTTTCACGTGTTTGAGGATTTGAGAGAAGGCCCCTGGCGACGGAGCAGGGAATATGAGGGCGAACGGCGTGAGTTTATTTTTTGAGTGCTTAATATACGCTAGATCTCATGCTAAGTACTCTAATGCATGCTCTTATCACTACTAGAAACCTACAAAGTTAGATACCCCATCGTTTTCAAAATGAAATAAGCACAGGCGAGGTTAAGAAACCTGTTCAAAATCACATAGCAAGTGGTGGAGCTTATACTGAATTCAATGCAGCATGAACCCAAAGCCCACGTTTTAAACTCAACCTTACAGCCAAAGTTAGAGAAGCAAGCAGTAGCCAGATCACAGTGGACTTTATATGCCATAACGAGGAGCTTGGATTTTATTTTAAACGCAGTGGAAAGCCATCGAAAGGTTTAAGCAGAACAGTGACTTTATCTGATTTACATTTCTACCGTGGCTGCTGTGTGGAGGCCAGAGGGAGGGTAGGGGGGAGATGTATGGGTAAAAGAGAGGAAACCAGTAAGTAGCCAGGAGACAAATGATGGTGGTCTGGACTAGGAGACAGATTCGAGATCTGTTTTGGAGCAGATCAAATTATACTTGCCAATGATTTAGATACAAGAAATAAGAAAGAAGGAAAAGTCTAGGATAACTCCCAGGTTTCTGGCTTTACTAACAAATGGATCATGATCGATAATAATGAAATGGTTAGGGATCAGACTAAGTTTGGGAAGGGGGATAGATTCATTTAATCATTCAAGAAATCTTCATTAAGCTTCTACCACGTGATGATACAGTAAAGTACAAAACTGATACAGTCTTGCTCTCATAGACCTTACATTATTGGAGAGGGGGCAGTTAGAGAAACTAATATGTAAACCAAAAGACAGTGATAAGTGCTATGGAAGACAATAAAGCAGGTTAATTGGGAAAGGAGATTACTATTTTAATTGAATGGTCAAAAAGAGTTTACTTCATGTATGAGCAGAGGCCTAAAGGAAACAAAGGAGGCTCCCTGAAGATTTCTGGGAGCAAAGAGTTCCTGGCAGTCTGAGTAAGATTGCAATGGCCCTGAGGCAGGCGTGTTCTTGGTATGTTTGAGGACTAAAAGGAGGCCAGGACGGTACAGCCGAGTACGTAAGCGAAACAATAATAGGCCATCAGAAGAGGAACAGACAATATAGAACACTGGTTAAGGACTTTGGCTTTTTTACTTTGAGTAACAGGAAACCCCTGGAAGACTGAACAGAGGAGTGGAGGAGCGGTGTTAACTCTGGTTGCAACGTGGATAAAGAGAGGAGTCAAGGAAGACTAGGTTTTTTGGCCTGTACCAAAGAAAAATGAGGTTACTATTTACTGGCTTGGGATGAGCATGGGAGGAACAGATTTATCATGGGAAATCATGAGTTCAGTTTGCCATATTAAGATGGAAATACTTATTACAAATTTAAATACAGATGTTGAGTAGTCAGCTGTTTTCTAGATTTCAGAGAAGTCTGGGTTGCAGATACCAGTCTGGCAGTCTTCAGCATCTAGATGGTATTTAAATCACAGGGATGGATCTAGTGAAAAGTATAGATACAGAAGAGGGTCCAGAACTGAACCCCCGATAAAATCCATCAGTTAGAAATTTCCATCTCATACTTAGTATTCTTATAATAAAACAACTGGTTTAATTTTTTAAAGCTATCACTTATTACACCAGCAGTTTCTAAAGTCATTGAGTGCCTCAATGAGACACAGCAAAAAGCTTACCTCATACTAATCTCAAAAGAGAAAGAAATTAACTCCATTCATGATCAGAGGAACACTAGAACTCAAAACATTTCCAAATATAGAGTTTGTACAATCCAGCGGTTAAGTGCATGGTACATGGGTTTCGGCTGCCTGGATTTTAATTCTGGCCCCTACGTTTATTGTCTGTGTGACCTAGGGCAAGGTACTTAACTGTGCAGTTTCCTCAGCAGTAAGTTGGGGATAATAATTTATTGGGTTGTCATAAATGAATTAATACCTTAATTACTTTTTTTTTTTTGGCTGGAAAAGATTCGCTCTGATTTAACATCGGTTGCCAATATTGTTCTCTCTTTTTTTCCTCCCCAGAGCCCCAATACAGAGTTGTATATTCTAGCTGTAAGTCCTTCTAGTTCTTCTATGTTTGCCCCCAGAGCATGGCTACTGACAGACAAGTGGTGTGGTTCCGCGCCCAGAACCGAACCAAGCGCCACGAACTTGAACTGCTAGGCCATCAGGGCTGGCTCATTAATCCCTGAACTTTTGCACTCAAAGAGTTAGCTATCTTACTATCACTGACACTAACTGATTAAAACAAATGTTGCGAGTGAGAGACCCTACAGCTAATCACACTAATTTTTCAATTATCTTAACCAAGGACTTGTAGCTCTCTGTTTAGATGTCAAAACAAGGCCAAAACACAGTCCTAAATTCAATTCTCTTAAGTAAGAGCTTGCAGCTCCCAGTATTTTAAAACAAAGCTAGAACACATCCCCAGACTCCTTAGGATCCAAAACAATCTTTGGAGGCAGAGGGAAAATGGAGCAACTAGCTAGTCCTAGCTCACACATTAGAGTGAGCCTGTCTGATAACAAGGGCCATCTGTGACACAGGCTAACAGGGCTTGAATCTCTCTTAACCAGTTATTTGATTCTCTTCTGGTCTCTCCTCTAGTGAATAAACGTGCTTTCGAAGACTGAGAAAGGTTAAACTAAGCTTTTGAATGGGAGTGCGGCAAAGAACCGAGAATCCAACTCTATGGCAACAATACGTGAAGACTTCTCCAGAGTCACCATCTATGCCTTTTCCCTAGTACCCAGGAGCACCGTGCGCTAAGACTCCTCTCGGTGAGTTATGGGGAAACGGCGACCTTCCCTCATTTGGCTCCCACGCCCGACCCCGTCACCGTCCCCTGGGAGCAAAGCGCCGGTGCAAAGCAGCTAGCCTCCCGACCTCCCCCTCCTCTCGCCGCACTCCGGGGCCCGAACCCGGGGCCTCGGCTCCCGCCTCCAGTCGCACGGCTACAGGAGACAGCTGGCGAAGAAACAATAGGGAAGTGGCGGCTGCCCTACCTCTCGCGGTCGCGGCCGTCGAAGTAGACGAAATCGCCGTTCTGGACGCACTTGGCGCAGGTCAGCCGGCGGCGGGTGGTGTTGCACAGCGGACACCGCTCGACCGCCACGTAGAGCCCCTCTGCATCGTCGACGCAATCCACGAGGTTCCGGGCGAGGGGCCGCGGCCCGCCGCTAGAAGCCTCGGGCTCGCGGGCTGCCTTCCCACTGGGAGACGCCATGATGGCCTGAGAGCAGAGCCAGTCACGTGGGATTTTGTTTTCAACCAGATGCATCCTGGGCGAGGAGGCGGAGCCTGGGGCGGGCGGCCGGGCTCCAGCCAGGCCCGGTGCTCTTCCGGACTGCTGGGGGCGGCGGTGCCGAAGGGGGGCGAGTTATGTTAGAGGGCGGAGTCAGCCAGACAAACGTCATCCTCCGCTAGATCCTGCCAAGGCTACAAGTTACCGCCCCGAACTTGTGCAAGAAATAGTAATACGATGCCCTAAGGATTCTGGGGAAACGGATTGGGAACAAAATAAGGGAATTTCTTTAATTCGCTAGGATGCTTTTAAATTTGGCTCAAACTACAGCCAATAAAGTTGGGTGAGGGGGCTGCGTCTTGGAGCGAGTTTGAATTTTGGCCTACCCACCTCCTTAATAGCTGTGTGATTTGGGACAAATTCCTAATCTCTCTGTGCCTGTGTTTTTATCCGTTAAATGGAGATAATTACAGTACCTACCTGACGTCGTGACGATTAATAAGTAAATATGTTTAATAGTAATCTGATAGTACCTTACCGAAAATAGCTAACCAGTGGAAACAAGGATAAAGGACCTGGGAATCCAAGTTGTAGCTTTCTGAAAAGTGAATTTTAAATTAATGTCCAACATTCCTCCCCTACTCTGGGCAATGCTCTGAGACAAAATTTGAACAAGGTAGAATTTAACCTAAAAAGTAGATTCCTGCATTCTTTTTTTTTTCCCTCTGTAAGGGTAAATAGGATGAGTTAGAGGATTAATTCAGAGTAATTAGTGTTGAATATGCCTCTAAACTACAGAAGGAAAAAAGAAAAGTGAGCATATAGGTCAAATTGTGATTCTCAAGGATTATTTTGGTAGGCTGTTATGGAAATTAAAAGAAACCTTAACTAAATTGGAGTTGTGAAGACCTGTACAGGGAGTTCTCATGCCCTATTACACATGGTCCATTTCCCCCAACAGGAAGAGAGGGCAGCTGAGAGGCAGGCTTGCATCTTCTGCAGGAAATAAAACTACTTTACTGCTGAAGGAAGATTTCTCTCTCCACCTGGCAATAGCTCAGCCAATGAGAAGCCATTACCACCCTGAACTGCTCCTTTCCCCCAATGGACTTTCCTTTAGAATAGCCCCCCCCTACCCTCCCTTGTTCCTCTATGAAGGCAGCTTCCCTGTTTTCTAGATTTGCCTATGGTTTGCCATAGCATGCACATCCCAAATTGCAATTCTTTTGGCTGTTCCCAAATATTGAGATAAAATAACAGGCAAATTTGCTTTTTAAGCTGACTGTCAATTGATGAGTGCCCTCAATTCTCTCTCGAGCTGAGCTGGGACTTCTCTCCCAAGTTCCATACCCCAAGGTCCATAACTGCCTCCTAGGTATAAAGTGATGTACCCTGGCCACCACCAACTCAGCATGTTGGAAACTGAACTCACCGTCCACATAAACCTGTTTCCTCCTCTTGGTGAAAGACAATCACTGACCACTTGGGAAGAAGAGCCATGAGTCATGTGAGCCCCGCACCTCCCCATTAACCTCCACGTCTTGATCAAATGTTGATGATTCCACAACCTAATTAGGTCTTGAATCTGAACCCTTTACTCCATCCTCTTAGTCTTATCCCGTCTATTTTAATACCATTACACAGGATTATGAAAGTATGAAAAAAGCAAAAAGACCCTAAGCTATTTTCAAAATAGAGCTTACACTAAAACTGAACGTTTCCTGAAAGTTTAAGATGTATAAGTGAGAGAAAGAATTTTCTGATCATTTCAAACAAAAAGATATTTAATTTTTCTTAAGGTTTCAGATTTTCATGTTTCATTTGTATTCTGATAGGATCCTTCACAGTGCCTGTAGCTAATGGCCAAGATCATCTACTTAATATTTTTTTAAACAAACGAAGTATTGAAAATTTTGAGGAAGATTGGCCCTGAGCTAACATCTCTTGCCAATCTTCCTCCTTTTTCCCTTTTTTCCCCCCTCCCCAAAGCCCCAGTAGATAGTTGCATTTCATGGTTGTACATTTTTCTAGTTGCTCCATGTGGGACGCAGCCTCAGCATGGCTTGATGAGCGGTGCGTAAGTCCGCGCCCAGGATCAGAACCCACGAACCCCGGGCCGCCGCAGAAGCTGAGCATGCGAACTTGACTGCTACGCCACCAGGCCGGCCCCACTACTTAATATTTTTAAAGGCAAAAAACAGACAAATTTCTATCCTGTTAGAGGATATTACACATATTATCTATATTATGCAGTTATTTGAAATTTCTATATATTGCTATGTATTTTCAGAGAACACATATTAATGTATTACATCTTGAACAAGAGCAGAGCATTAAATTTTAATGATGCTACAATCTCATTCTAGCAAGGACCTAACTCTCAAATTCTGAAATACGTTTACTTGTTCACTTTTTAAAGTAACAGACTCATTTTGAAAACAAAGTTTCTTCGTTTCTTAGGCATGGTTGCTCACAAAGAATCACTCTTTAATAAGTAAACTCAAAATGTACATGGAACATCTACAGTCCAGCTGTTTCTGTGCTGGGCTTATATACATATTCAGACCAATATACTGTGAGATGTGGAATGATATACTCAGGCTTTTTCAAAATTCTTTAAAATAGGATAGATCTTTTCAAATGCTTCATAGATCTCAGAACGTTCTTTGGCACCTATAAAGAAATTCAGGTTTATATAATCTTCAATATAAAAATACCAAAATTTTCTTAAAACTACAATTTCATTGTCATCTCCAATTACTTTTACTGTGATGACATCTCTTTAGGCATACCTGAGAAGTGACATTTATTGCTAGTAAGGAAGTCAGTGACTATAGCCATGTCCCCACACACAGACCCTAGGGCAGCGTTTTCCAGCACTTCCGCTCTGTGGGCATGTCAGTTCATTTTCTAGCCTCACAGGGCTCGGTATAAAATATGGAATGTTCTCTCAGTGTGCCATGAACGTGACCACAGAACATGACCTTCATCAGCACCGGTGGGCACTTTACCAGCAAAAGGGACCTCCTTTAATCTACTCATTTCTAGTTAACATCTCAATTCCCTAATACTGACTAACAGAATGAGACAAACTAGAGGTATTTTAAAGTTTTAAATTTCAATGTATGGGAAGGGATTATTAGAGGGAAAAATTGTACCAGTGTCACCTTTCCAGTCTTAAGTTTCAAGGGATCTTGATAGCATTACTGCCCTACGATAGATCCTCCTACCCTTTTATGAGGATAAAAACATGAAATAGACCCAGTCCTCACCCTTAAGAGAGATTATCAGTCAGTCCCTCCCTCATCTCTCACCACCACCCACCACTAAACTACTTGCACCTTCAAAGCTATGCAGGCACATTGTGCTAAGGGTTACAGACTGGTAGTACTTATATTTATATGGAGCTGTCAGCTAATCAACAAACTATTATCTGACATTGGGCAGGAGGCAAGGAGATTAATGAATATAAAAACTATTAGCATGAAGAGAAAAAGAAAATAGCTCAAGTTGATAAAGTCTCTTCCTTGAAAGCTATCAAGTTAGAGAGGAGGAAGGCTCAGTATGAGGGCAGAAATAACATGTGAGAAGTGGTTATCTGGTTTAATTATAGGACTAATGGGAGGGAATTACCAAAAGGAAGATCACCAGATTCGAGAAGCAGGTAGAAATCAGGATTCAGAATCAAGAATGAGCTATAATAATAATTTAAAAAATGGAAAATAGCTAGTGTTGGCAAAGATAAAGAGAAATTGGAACCCTCACATACTGCTGGTGGGAAAGAAAAATGGTTCAGCCACTGGGGAAAACACTTTGGCAGTTCCTCAAAAACATTAAAATAAGAATTACCATATGACCCAGCAATTCCACTCCTGGGTATATACCCCCCAAATTGAAAACAGGTACTCAGATAAATAGGACACACGTAGACGCATATTCATTGCAGCACTATTCACAATAGCCCCAAAGTGAAAACAACCCAGTGTCTATCAACAGATGAATGGATAAACAAATTTGTGATGTATACCTACAATGGAATATTATTCAGCCTTAAAAAGGAATGAAGTACTGATACATACTACAGTGTGGATGAGCCTCAAAAACATTATGCTAAGTGAAAGAAGCCTAACACCAAAGATCATAAATGATATGATTCCATTTCTATGAAATATCCAGAATAAGTAAATCCATAGACACAGAATGCAGATCGGTGGTTGCCAGGGGCTGCGGGAGGGAGGAATAGGGAGAATCTGTTTAATGAGATGGGATTTTATTTTAGGGTACTGGAAATGTTTTGGCACTAGATAGAGGTGGTGGTTGCACGACACTGTGAATGTACTAAATGCCACTGAATTGTGCACTTTCAAGTGGTTAAGTTTATGTTATGTGAATTTCACCTCATTAAAAAAATTTTTTTAAAGATACAAAGATGAAGCTTTTAAGCTTTTAACAAAGATTAATATTTTAAACTTATAAGCTTAAAATATTTTTGAGAGGTAATGGCAAAAATTACTTCTTCATTGCCAAAAGGTTTACTATCTGTGAGTGTCCACCCCTAAAGATGGGGTGGGGAGGAGGGCAAGTTACTGATATGGATAACAAAACTCTGTACCTTTGGAGTAGGAACAACCTCTCAAGTCTTGGCCAATTTTAGTTATAGCACTAAAATTTTAGTTTCTAAAGAGACTGGTTTTGTAGAAACCAGTTAGTTGGGGAAGAAGTAAAACACCATTATAAAAAACTCTCTGCCTCTGGTTTGATAGACTTTTTCAGCTTCCGGATATGTTTGAAGGCAACAGCTTTCTCAGGAGACAGTGAAGGAGAGTAGGTATAGCAAACACACACATCCCCTCCACTCCCCCCACACCAAGGTTCTTTTTATCTTGAATTGAGGAACAAAGTGTCTAGATCCAGCATTTTGGGTAACTATGTACTTTAGTTTTTTCATAACACTTAAAATAAATCATACCTAAAAGCATTCCATTCAAGCCCAAAAGAGTATAGCATTCCGGGCTGCCCTGGTGGCATAGCGGTTAAGTGCACGCGCTCCGCTCTGGCGCCCCGGGGTTCGCAGGCACCGATGCACTGCTTGTCAAGCCATGCTGTGGCGGCGTCACATATAAAGTAGAGGAAGATGGGCACGGATGTTAGCCCAGGGCCAATCTTCCTCAGCAAAAAGAGGAGGATCAGCATCGGATGTTAGCTCAGGGCTAATCTTCCTCACGGCGGGGGGGGGGGGAAGATGAGTATAGCATTCTGGCATCTCCTGGAGGACAGAAAACACCCACTGCTCAAGAGGAAACAGACACTGAAAGTGATCATTATTTTATACCAAAGAAAAACAAGTTTAGACACAAAAGGGCTTTAGGGAAATTATCTAGTACAATTTCTTCATTTCTTATGTGGGAAAATGAGGCCCAAGAAGTTGAAGTTCCCCTGAATCACGAGTAGCAGCTATGGGAGAAGACCTCATGTATCCAGTTCCTTCCTTTACACCAAAAGGCATCAAATAAACATTGACAGGATTTGTAACAGGGTATTACAATGAGGGGACTTAGTCAAATATTTCTTCACTGAAATATTGGCATCAAAACTTTGGGGCCAATTTAGGTTCCCTTATAGTCCTATTAATAATCAGTCTATAATCAAACATCCCAATTTTCAGCACCAGACTTGGATTAGATGACCCTTGCCTTTTAAGTAAAATATATCAGTCCTTTCCTTCAGGTAATAATGACCGACCCTTTGGGGGATCAACACCATTCCATGGTGACAGAGGTGGAAATTCTGTGGCTGCCGCATTGGGGAAAGGACTGGCTTTGAGACCAAACCATACTAGCTAAAGTGCCAGCTCTACCGCTAACTAGGTTTGAAATCACAGGCAAATTGCTTAATGTCTGCGTTTGTTTCTTACCTGTAAAATAAGGACAATAGCCTTCTCATGGGTGTGCTATAAGGGTTACGTGAGCAAATGTTTGTAAAAAGTCCTTTGTAAATCATAACATTTTACAAAACCTAAGCCGTTCTCATTGCCCTAGAAAATGTACTTCAGGATGAGGGTGTTGGGATGGCTGGTCCAAGTACACATGGCTGAGCATCTGGTTCTGTAAGAGCCAGGATCACATAACCTGTTTATGTCTGTCTCCTTCACTAGGGCTCGATTCTTGCCAGATGGGGAATGTGTTCTATTCACTTTTCATCCTCAGCACCTAAAACATTATGCGTACCTGGTAGGCACCTAAAGTTTATTAAATATCTATCGTCTGTCAATAAGGTTTGTAAGCTCATCCCTACCCCTTAGCCAGCCCAAATATTAATTTCCAATACTACTTGGATTTGCCAATTCTATTCTTACACCAAGTCACAATTACACATCATATTTTCCCAAGTGATACCATATGTGTGTGCACACAAGTGAAAATCCTACAATTTCAAAAAAAAAAAAAAAAAAAAAAAAAACAGCATGAAACCCCTCAAGGTACACATTTTGCAGTATATACAGATTTGCTATTGTGGGGGATCCCTGATAAGACCGACAGGGATATTCTACTCCCTCTCTCTGGCCCACTCACTAAGAAGTCTGGTCATTTTTATGCTGCCCTCTAACCTAGTCGTTTCCAAGAACCACTGATGTCTAGCTGATTGAGAGTGACCCTCAGTAACCAAGACCCAGCTTCTTAGTCCTTTATGCTGGAGAGAAATAAGTACATGTGAAGCATTTTATTAAACCCTCTTTAGACTTCATATTCTCATCTTAGGGCAAGGCATCACGGCAAATTTCCAGTCTCTTTCAATGGTAGGAAGGAAATACAAAGAGTGTGCTTTCACCTAGGTAATAACAGCTAACATTTATACCACGGCTACCATATACCTGGCACGGTTTTTCTGCCTCCTCACAACACTGAGCAGGTAGCTTCTGTGGCCACCTGCCTTTTGCGTATGTGGAAACCAAGGTGGAGAACTTCAACTCACCCAAATTCATACAGCCTATGTGGGAAAGCCTGGCTTCAAACTGGACAACTGGTTTCCAGAGCCCAGCCTCTTAGCCAGCACACCTGCTGCCTCTCCCTACTAAGAGAGTATTTATCACTCCTTCAGCTGACAAGGAGGATTAGGGAAAAGATGCCCAACAGACCACACAGATGTTTTCACAGGTGTCTAAAGAGCTGGGGACAGGGCAGGTACGTGAAGATGGTGGGCTCTGGAGCCAGGCTGCTCAAGTTACCACCTGTGCTGCAGCACACGCAGCTGTGATATTACTAAGGTTACTTAACCTCTCCACCGTCCCCATTTTACAGGTGAGGAAACAGGTATTAAGTACGACCTCACTGAGTTAACTAGAACCCACATAAAAGCTCTCATCACAGTGCCTGGCATGTGAGTGCCCAAAACATGTTAACTCTATTATGTCTGACATTAGAAGTGAAAATTAACATATCTGCTGTTAATTGTATATTATTCCAGCAGATCCTGGCTATACTATTAATTTTACTGTGGTTTGGGGGAAAGACACGGGTCCTAAATGTCATGCAAGCCATAGAAAAGCAGCACGGTCCTGGGACAACAGTGTGAAGCTTGGCCCAGGTCCCATTGCTTTTTGCTGTCAGGGACCATGACAAGGTAGGATAGGTCCTTGGCTCACTTAACTATAATTAGTACATTCAGATGTAGCCTTGGACATGGTGGCTGAAGCTTTGGCACCTCAGAGGAGTAAGAATTTCACATGGATAAATTGTTTTCAAAGACCCTGCAAATGGTACATGATACGATGGTTTCAAATTGCCACTTTTGTATTATGTATATTGGTGTTCTACAGTTCCTACCTAGGGAAGAGCCCGGATCCGTTATTTAATATAGTGAAAATCAAACGGCATTTGTAATTACAATCCTCTAAGGTTTTCTAGGCAAAAATTATTTACCCTTGTTGGGACTTTGCTTTCAAAATAGCTCTGCAGAGTCTTGCCATGTTGGAGTCGACAACGTGAGCCTCTAGGACTCCACTAGATACTGGACATGACCATCCCCAGCTGAAGCTCTAGAGGTAAGGCTCAAAGGAGGCCTCCTTGATCTCTTTCCCCAGATTTACACTCAAAATTGGGCCCGTGAGTTCTTAAGCCCTTTGCAGGTGAAAAGAGTCTAGGTGCCTAAGGATAAGGAATAAGGAGCATTTGTCTCTGCGTTTGGAGCAAAAGTAACCTAAACCACATAGTTCTAGGTAAAAGTACTTGAAGACAATACAGTATAAACAAGGGAAAACCTCAATAGATAATAATTACTCATATTTCAGTAGTAAGACATTGACTGGCTTTTACTTCATAATACAAGCAGAAATCTGGACTTCAGTTAATATGTCTCATTCCCCTCCTCCACAAAAGTGATGATCTACATCTTGCAAGAATAAAGAAATTTAGCTTCGCCTATTCTATGTGCTGAACGCATTAATCAATTTTAAGGGAAGTGTATTGTACGGTCTTCAGTATTGAGTGTTGACAATTCTTTACTTTTGTGATTTGAAACTTCCAGCAAATGTGTACATGAAAGTATTTTTTTTCCTTTTAATTTGGGGTAAGTGGGAAAGCTAGTTTGAATTAAGGATATTTAAAGAAACTTGTTTTTGTGTACCTATAATAGGAACTTAGCCTGTACTGGCAATTTGCACTTCTAATAAGACTGATTTGTAATGACACACAGCAGGTAGTAGAGAGTATCCTTCCAAATGTCTTGACAAGTCTGTTTTCTTAAGTAGGGCATATATTTGCCTCCAATAGCTATAACTATTCAATTTAGTGGCAGGCTTTTCCGCCTTCCTTCAGGACGTAGAAGTAAACTTTGTTAGTCACTAGGGGCTCTTAATCATTCGAGCCTCTAAACTGGTGGCCTCTGAAGAACTGTAGCTTTGTTGTATTCAAAATGTTCTGGAATCCCCAACATGCTTCCGTACTTTGAAGACACATTAGTTATTTCTTAGAAAGAAAACAAACTATAAAACTTTACTGAGAGTTCTAAAAGACTTAAGAACAGACATTCCACGTTTTTGGATGCTGAATGATAACTATCAATTTTTCTCAAATTAACTCAGGTAATGCCAAAATCTCAATTTTTTCTAGATGGGGCAAGATTTTATAAAATTCTAAAGTTTATTTGGAAGAATAAATATTTGTGAGGAGCCAAGAAACAAAGAGAGAAGCAATGAGGGGAAACCAGTCCTATCAGATAGAGAGACCATGAACATCACAGCACATTTATTCCACAACAGGAGAGACACAAGAGGATTATCACAGCATAATCCTGGAGCACAGACAGATCTGGAGAACAGACCTACACATAAAGTCAAGGTCAACAGGAGCCGTCACAAATTAATCATGAGAAGAATACGTCGTGTCAAGATGGCTGGCTGGCTACATGGGGGTGGGGCATAATCAGTGTGGCTCATGCCATATAAACCAGGCATTCATCTTGGTACAGAAGAGTAAAATGTGTAAAAACTCAAACAACATTAGACTTCAGTAGAATGGTATGGAAAAGAGTCTCGACCCTTTACCTCAAGAACTTTTAAAACCCTGCTTTAACATAAAAATAAGGCAACGGGAAAAAGTCACAAAGGTAACAAAGAGTAATTATTATTATTATTTTTGCTGAGGAAGATCCACCCTGAGCTATCATCTGTTGCCAATCTTCCTCTTTGTAAAAAGAGTAATTATTTTTAATATTATGGTGAACTAATACAAATCCTTAGAGGAAAAACAACTAATGAAAACTAAGGAGGCAAAAGGAGTAAGTTATGTACACTATTTACAAAAGATAAAATACTGTTTCTTGGATTTGTTGAACAGTGGTCAATTTCTGATTACAGTGAGGTTAAGCAGTGAGACCATCTCACTCACAGTTAAAATTTTCTTTTGTACCGTTTTGTTTGAATGTTGCTGAGGGTTGCAAATGACAGATACATTGCTGGTAGGAATGGATGATATAGGAGAACTGTATTGTATATGCCTTTAACAATTTGGTAATTTGTACTAAAAATCTTAAATGGTCATATCTTTGAACAAAAGTTCCATTTCTGAGCATCCACACTGATAAAATAATTCTCTACACATGAAAACAGCCAAAGGTTTGTGTCATGTAAGCAGCAAACAAAGAAGGGACATTTAAACACCTAACAATGGGAGAATAAGTTGGATGCAATAACATGTTAGGATAGAGGTCAGGAAACTTAGGCCAGCTGGCCAAATCCAGTCGGCTGCCTATTTTTGCAGCCTGTGAGCTACGAATGATTTTTATATTTTAAATGGTTGGGCGGGGGCAGGGAGAGAAGATTACATGATTACAAGTAAATTATGTGAACTATATTAAATTCACATTTCAGAGCCCTTTCCTTTATGCAATGTCTATAGCTATTTTCACACTACAATGGCAGAGTTCAGTTGTTGCAGAGACCCTATGACCTGCAAAACCTAAAATGTTTAGTATTTGGCCCTTTACAGAAAAAGGTTTACTGAGGGGCCGGCCTGGTGGTGCAGGCGGTTAAGCACGTGCGCACTGCTGCGGCGGCCCGGGGTTTGCCAGTTCGGATCCTGGGCGCACAGTGATGCACCACTTGTCAAGCCATGCTGTGGCGGCGTCCCATATAAAGTGGAGGAAGATGGGCATGCATGTTAGCCCAGGGCCAGTCTTCCTCACCAAAAAGAGGAGGATTGGCAGATGTTAGCTCAGGGCCGAACTTCCTCACAAAAAAAAAAAAAGAAAAAAAGAAAAAAGAAAAAGGTTTACTGACCCTTCTGCTAGAACATTGTGCAGCTGTTAAAAACCTTCATGAAGAGTTTGTAAGAATGAGTTAAGCTACATGTCATATTGGTTGATAAAAAGTATGTAAAGATGAATGATGAATGTACATATCAAAATGACATAAAAAACACGAAAAAAGTTACCTTGTTTTGGGTACTAGGACTGATGTGTGATGTTATATTCCTTTCTACTTTTCATTTTTTCCAGGTATTCTATAACAGCAAGAATTACTTTATAATGGTGAACAAGCTATTTAAAAGGAAAAGCAAAGCACACACATAGCTGTTGAATTTTATCAAAGTGAGAAAATAATCTTGAACTTACCTGTCAACACAACTTTTCCCGATGCGAAGATAAGCAACACCACTCGTGAGTTTACCATTCTATAAATAAGGCCAGGAAACAGTTCAGGTTCATAACTGTTAAGACATAAAAGGAAAAAGTTAAAAAGAGCACTATTCACCTACTCTCCCATAATATTCAAGACCCAATATAGTAAAGCTGCATACTAGAGCAGCTTTAAAAAGCTATTTTACCGGGCCGGCTCCGTGGCTTAGCGGTTAAGTGCGCGCACTCTGATGCTGGCGGCCCGGGTTCGGATCCCGGGAGCGCCCCGAGGCACCACTTCTCTGTCCAACGCGAGGCCGAGTCCCACGTACAGCAACTAGAAGGATGTGAACCTATGACATACAACTATCTACTGGGGCTTTGGGGGGAAAAACT